GTTTGTTCTTTTGTTAATCCACCTTTCATCCTCTCGCGTGCGACGCGTGAGGATTGTTTACCTCGGTTAAAAACAACGGGCGTGTCCCGGTGTTCACAACACCTTTCCTCCTCTCGCGTGCGACATGTGAGGATTGTTTGCCTCGGTTAAAAACAATGGGTGTGTCCCGGTGTTCATACCACCTTTCCTCCTCTAGTGTGCGACGTATAAGGATTGTTGACCTTAGTTAAAAACAATGGGCGTGTCTCAGTGTTCACACCACCTTTCCTCCTCTCGCGTTCAATACGTGAGGATTGTTTACCTTAGTTAACAACAATGGGCGTGTCCCGATGTTCACATCACCTTTTCTTTTCTCGCGTGCGACGCATGAGGATTGTTTACGTCGGTTAAAAACGACTGGTGTGTCCCGGTGTTCACACCACCTTTCATCCTCTCGCGTGCGACGCATGAGGATTGTTTACCTCAATTAAAAGCAACGGGCGTGTCCCGGTGTTCACACCGCCTTTTCTCCTCTCACGTGTAACGCATGAGAATTGTTTACCTCAGTTAAAAACAATAGGTGTGTCCCGTTATTCACAATACCTTTCCTCCTCTCACGTGCAACGCGTGAGGATTGTTTACCTCAGTGAAAAACAACAGGCGTGTCCCAGTGTTCACACCATCTCCTCTTACGTGCGACGTGTGAGGATTTTTTACCTCAGTTAAAAATATCAGGTGTGCTCGATGTTCACACCATCCTCCTCCTCCTCTCGCGTGAGCTACGTTAGGATTGTTTGCTTTCGTTAAAAACATCAGGTGTGCCCGGTGTTCACACCATCCTCCTCCTCTCGCGTGAGATGCATTAGGATCTCTGTTAAAAACCTCCGGGTGCCCCCGATGGTTACATTGCCCTTCACCCTTTCTACACGAGGCGTAGTTAGGTTATCCTTTCTATGTGATATGTAGCTTGGTTTATGCTTACTTTGTCCTTTCCACGTGAGACATGTTCGTTTATTCACTTCTTTTCGTGTGAGACACGGCGGGATTTGTTTTGTTCTGATTTACACTTTCGTTCATCGTTGCATTCTTGTTTAGATTGTAGCATTGTTCGTTGCTTGTTATTTGCATTGTTTCATTGCATGATCATAAGTTATTTGTTGCATTTCGTTTTTGCACTTTGCCCTTGAGTTCAATCTTTGCATTTATGTCTTGATTTCTTGCCCAAGCCTTACGGCCTCGTCAAATGGGTCATCTCTGGGCTTTGACATTCACTCACGTCACTTTATGACTTCGAGCTCTGTCAAAGAGGGGCAACTGTAGACACCCCATTTTTGACCGCCGCAAGGCTCGAGTGCTTTGCTCAGTACACTCGGTGATGAAAATGGTGTTGTGTATGGTTTGAGGTCTCAACGAACGAGCTATGTTTAAGCTCCAAAACAATCCCAAATATGCCATATTTCCATTGTTTGTACCCCAAAAATCCAATTTTACACATTGTGTCACCCAGTGCTGAATCTGAAACAGATAGACAAGGGATCACATTGAGGCCCGGCCATGCCTCATTGAGAGTCGACCTTGGATATTGATGGCCGGCCATGCCTTAGTAACGAGAAACACTGTTCTGGGCAGAAGCCTGTGTAGATGTCCTCGAACGTCCCGGGAGGGAATCCCGTTTTGTTCATTGGGCTCACTACAGTTCGGACTCAAATGTCACGATTTTGAATCTAATCCCGGAAAGTGCAATGCAAGATCGATAAATCACCAAAGAGTCCAAATCCGGCAAATCGTTTTGAAAAACATATTTTTAGAAAGAAGTGCCAAACATGGACTGCTTTGCCAGATACAGAGTCGCCACCTAAATATTTTATGTTGGGGGAATTTAGGAAACCCTGACTCGTGTCTAAGGCCACGTGTCCGTCATCACCAAAGTTGCCTTGGCTTGAGAACTTGGGTACGATTGGAGAAGGTCATTTCATGAGCACCCCCGCTCGCCCGATCGAAGATCGGCCACTATTAAGCATGATATCGAGTTTTGAAAACACATGTGCTCTTATTCCGGTTTATTAGCCTAGAATTACTATGTGATGCGCACAGCATACAAGTATAGACTGGATCGCCTAAGTTGGAACAAAGCATTGCATATCCATTTATTTTGAAAATGGATTGAAGTTTGCTACTCGCAAGTAGGCTAAAACACGGGTTTCGACGAATTATTCCAACTCAAGCAACCCAACCTTCACCGATAGGCATTCAGACAGTTTTATCACATAAGCAAATAGCCTCATGGTAAGCATGCTATCATGGTAGTCACTCACACGCATGCAAGGATGCTAAAGCATAAATACTTACCGAGTACTCCAAGCCAAAGAAAGAAGCTAATTAGAAATCATGCATGAATCCTAACTATGCTGAAATGCCTAATGCAACACATGCAAAAATGCAACTAAGATAGGCTCGGCTATTCTAAAATGGCATATGAAATGCAACAACTGATACATGTATTTAACTCGGAATTGAAATACAATGCAGTTAGTATGATACGCCGAGCCCGGTGCATGCAAGACAGATAAATGGATGCAAACATGCGCGCATAAGTATGCTAATTGAAACGTGCCCTAAACTAACCATCATAAGCTGGTAAATAAAAAGGAGAAAGATGTGGGGTTAGAAGGCATGCATCACACACACACGCACACTCATTACAACATTGCCCTCCTCGGAGGGTCCGAATGAATAGTACAGAATAAACTAGCTAATCTAAGCTAATTGAACTAATTATTACACAACATTAATTAATTAACGAATTAACTAAGTAATTAAGAAAACTGGCAAGCAAAGTAAACAAAATGGACTGCCTCAGCTCTGTTCCAAATGATAGGGATGCATGCATGCTCAAGTCGCCTTATCGGGAAATCCATTGCGATGCCCCCGATTTGCCTCTGTTTGCAATTGGTCCCAGAACACTGTACAAAGCTCCAGAAGGATGCTGACCAGTTTTTGCTACTGGTTTCCGATTTGCTGTAACAGAGAGCGAGAAAGGGGCATGGAAAAGTATTTTCAACATATGTATGCACGACCACTCTCCCTGTCATTGCATAAGCTCTAGGGGGTATAATCCTCGATCCTCGTGCCACCAATCACGCATCTCGATGCATGATGGCCGAGGAGTCGGGTTGCACGACTCGATGTAAAATGAATGCACAAATGGACACCTAAAGCCAACAACTCTATCATGGATAGTCAAGAGTGTTGGAGACCGGGAATTGAAGCACGTTTCCTCACTTTGAGTACGAAGCGTCCCTCGTTTCCCGTGTTTGGACTAAACCCTATTCCAAACACAATGCAATAACACATGGCATGCACAATAAGACTAGCATGCAACCTAAACCAAGCAACCTAAATCAGTGCTGAGCTATGCGAGCGCGGATGATATGGCAAACATGCAACTAGATACACAATGCTTGACAAGAGCATACTTCAATGCAGCATGAGACTAGAGTGGCATAGCCAATGCCACATACGCAAGATGGACATGCACGAAGCATGAACAAGGCATATACGCAAGTCCGATTCAAGCTGCGAAAACATGGATATGGCATACATACATGCAAGATGGGATCTTAAACTAAGAATGTAATGGCCTCATCACGCTCAATCAGGTGGCATTCATGGTGAAATTAAGGCAACAACACTATGCAAACGATCACAATGCGAGGGACCAAACCAAGGCACAAAGTGGCAACTCTACTAAGGCATGGAAAGGGATAAATATGCAGGCTAATCACACATTTTTCCAGCTTTGAAATGTCATACATAGTGGCTCCAATCGTGCAAAAAAACCACTCAACACAATGCATACAGATGGCCCGAATACCGAAACTAGTGAAGTGATTTCACTA